GAGGCCCTAAGAGTGAAATCCTAGTCCCCCAGAAGTAGCTGTCAAATCTTGAGGCTTTCAGAGAGCATCGCGTATTACAATCACGGGACCTAGTAAGGTTGAGCACCGTAAGTAGTTGTATTACGCTTACCTTACTTAGTAACATATCTGCTCATTGCTCTCGCCCAAAAAGCGATGAAGCTTGATGGAGCCCCTATGGATAGTTACGGCTGGTGGCAGGCAACACATGTCAGTACCTAGGATTTTGATAATGGTCAGAGTCAGAAGGTGCCCATTCTGGATGCATTGTCAAAGTCGGGGATCGACACGAACGCCTTGCCTGCAACTTGCAGAATAAAGCATAACAAAGCTGCACACCCTGAACTCTAAGCCGTCACCTGCACCGAACACCCAACCGCCAATGCCGAATCTGAACCCCAAAGACAAAAAAAACACACTGAAATCATCAAGGAATGTGGCTAGCAAGGTCATACACCATAAAGATAATAATGAACCCACAGCTACCTATGACTATGACCCTCCTCACTACTTCCCCTGATCTTCCCTAAACCCTATACTAAACCCCAGGTAGGCCTCGTCATTGGGACTTCGGGTTCGGCACCCAAGCTCCCCAAACCCAGACAACTGGGGCCGGAAGCCCCTGCCTGCAAACAAAAGCCCTACTTTCACAACTTCCAACTCAACACCTAGAGGACCTACTTAATTAGGGTTTAGGGTTTAGGGTGTAGGGGGTTTAGAGTGTAGGGTGTACATGTGAGATCATCAGCTCTGGGCGGACCTGCATAACCCAAACTCTAGACCTGACTCTGTACCAAAACACATTGTCCAAAAGGGCTCCGCCTCATTACAGGGAGCTCGTGAGCCTCAGCCAAGTCTCGCATGTCATCGTAGATCTTGCGAAGAGCCTTGGAATTGATTCCGCAGGGGCTTGGGCAGATTTCCCAAGCACGAAGCCAGCCCCAGATAGGCCCTACAGTAGACCAAGCTATACCCGTGAAGTAGGGTCCTCAACCTCTGTATAAAACATGTCAGTACCTCTGTGCCTTGCAGAATCAGAAAAGCCCGATGCGGGCTTCTTGCAAGCAGGGATCCCTCATTCAGGGTTCCTCGTCCTGAGGATCCGGCTCTACACTGGGACTCATAACTATCGTGTAACATACGCATCGCGCTTCAGGGTGTAGCGCTCGGTGCTCAGCGATGCTTTGCACACTGTTTAGGGCTAAACTCGGGGATCCTTCTGCGAAGGCTCCTCCTTAAGACTGTAGAGCCCCACGAAACGGCCTCCGACCGACGATGCAGACACAGCTTCAAAATACAGTATATGGGGCTGTATAGTGATTATGGGCAGTAGCTGCAAGATACAGCTACTGATACTCTACTTTGCAGCTCCTTGCGTGCTTCCTTTGCTACCGGATCGTAACTGCAGAATCGGTTAACCCTGGACCCTGAAGCACCCGTTAAGAGTATTCGAGCACAGGTAGAGAGCTCTTGCTGTCGTAGGAGCTTTTGGCGAAGAGTTTGTTCCAAGCTTGTTATAGAGGCATTCGTGTACGGATTCAGTACAGCAGTACGTGTCATGAGGAGCAAGTGCAGGCATACTGGGGTCCTTGATGCAGGTGGAGGAACTGACCCAACTTTATCTGCAAAACCCTAGACCAACAAAACGACATAAAGCATCACAGCCTGACCAAATGCTAAAGCTTGTGCAAGGTCTATAAAACTCTGCAAGTCCTTTGGAAAGCATCAAATCCCACGGACCCCGGGAATTCTGCCCTCCAAGATCCTGGGTCCAAGTTCCTAAAACCACAATCCTAATGCGGACATGGTTGAAATCCCAAACTATGAAAACCCCAGTGCCCTTGGAAGGGGTCTGAAGATTATCACAGACTTGCTGAAACGAAACCACTGCCTCTTGCCAACAAACGTATTCATGATTCATCTTATTTTGGCCCCTCAACCATTCCTAGTCAAAATACTAAACGGCACATCCCTAAACCCGAAAACCCCGTGAGGGTGTTAGGGTTTAGGGCTGAGTGTCTGCCATTTAGCGTTGGGAACAGAAAGAATGTACACCCTTCTGTAGACCTACTGCGAGTAGCCCATCAAAACACTATCACACCACGAACCCTAGTTACTGCCCTAGTTTGATCCACAAATCCATGTAAGCAGCCCCACAGAGTCCTGTAGAACCCGGCGACACCCGTGAAGCCCTAAAGCCGAAACCCTAAACCGTCCTTCAACCCCTGCACCATAAAGCATTCATGGAATCCCGAAAGACCTGCTCGGGGCTTGGCCCATCCCATGCCGATGATGCCACCAGCATTCAGATATCGCGAGGGAGCAGAAGCCTCAGGGTTACTTTCCGGGTAGGTTTAGGGTTTAGGGCTTAGTGTTTAAAGTTTTAGGGTTTAGGGTTTGGGGTTTTGGCATCCTTCCAGGGGTTCTATGAGGTCGCTATGAGGATCCCCTTTCATTTCAGATTCCTATAAGCTTGAAACAGGGGCCCACAAGGGTCCCACGGAGGTTACAAGAAGGGTCGCCCTGAGGGTCTAGGACAAGGTTTAGGTAATTCCTGCCAAGAGCGGCTACAACGGTTCCAATTACCACGGTGCCAATGAGGGTTCCAAAAAGGGTTCTAAACCATGGTAACAGACTTCAATACATGGGCTTCGAAAGCCCGCTTCTATCATGTAGGGTCCAGACCCAGTGAATTGGGTAGAAGTGCTTCAGACAAATCTTCGAAGGGTTTCATAGATGCTGGCAAGATCATTCCGGAGCCCCAACATTCGAAATCCCTGCAAACCGCAAATCCCAAAGCCCTAACAAAGGGCCTGAATGATTAGAACAGGGTTTTGGGGGCTCCTTGTTGTAATTATAGTATAATATACCCCCAAAACCCTATTCTAATTATTAAGGCCCCTACATCAATCATGAACTCCGACATTCGGGGTCCCTGACATGGGATGGTCTGGGTTGCCGTGCATTTCCCAGGCCCACGGCGTGCATCTGATCCACTGCCACGGTCGCTTGCCTCGGCAATGAAGCCCTGCTCCTTCTCAACCCAAAGCCAAGGTACTAACCGACAACTATCTCAACTGCTAGCCCAGAAAGTGGTAGATAATTACTTGGACCCTTACGGTCATGCCAACATGGAACCCCAAACAGCCCCGCATATGGGGGCTATTGGAGGTTGAAGTTGTGAGTTTGCATCAAGGGCTTAGCGTTTCGTCTTCGAAAGACACCCGTATACCAAGGGCCCCCGATTCTGCAGGTCCCCTGCTTGTTTACGGAGCGTACTTGAAGGATCAGGTATACTCTCACCAAAATAGACTGACTGCAATTAATGTACTTCTGCTCTTAATCACCAAGTCCCTTTATTCTCTAGCTTCGGGCTCCCCAAATTTGCTGCTTTTTCACTTAAAAGTTTGCGGTTGCCTTACTTTTTGCTTAGGGGATAGAGTCTCGGGTTTAGGTTTTCGGGGTTTAAGGGAAGTTTGAAAGCCCACGTCCTACCTGCCAGGCCCCTCCCCAACACAAACCCAGGCTTAGCGTGAGGGTTCAGGGTTTTGGGTTCAGGACTAGGTGCTTCTGCTGCAGGGTTCAAGCTTTTAAAGCCCACATTCTCGCCAGCAATCCTGAGATTGGGGTCCGGGGTTTTGGGAGCGAGGTTCGGGTTTGGAGCTTTAGGTTTGTGCTTCGGGATCGGCCCCGCAAGTCTGCATCCGAACATGAGGAGCTTGCTCCATCACCTCCCGCGGAAAAATGTTCTCCTGCATGCAGACGGCAGGGTTTGGGGTTTGTACACATTAACTACAACAGGCAGAATAAGGAGCACTATACTATTTTCGCCGCCGTTCATGGTAGACCAGAGTAGCTGCGGACCACCGACACTGAAATTGCATCTCTGCCCAACCTCGGCAGATCCCACTAACCCATGCCTAGCATGCTACTAAGTACCCCTCTTTGCTTGAGTTTCAAAGTATTCTGCAATGAAAGAGCCCTGAAAGAGCCAACTAACTCTTCCCCTTAACATGTACGGAATACTGGAGTCGCAGAAGACGACAGATTTGGAACATAAACCCACAACTGTCGCATCCAATTGTGGTACCCCTACGTATGGCACCCCGAATCCCCTTTGCTTGCATTGAGGGTGGCCCTGGGGCCCTTGCTGGGTTCTTCGGACCTGCCTAGACCATCGATTGTGGTCCTCAAAACTTTTACTACTATTGTTATCAAATCAAGTATTGAAATTAATATCAGCAGTCTTCTTGTAATACCCGTTTTGCTCGCCTGGCTATTCTGTTAGTGTAGGATCCTAGCCACAAAACGGGTGCTCGTATGCAGGGTTTGGGTAGATTCCGCTTCGACTCCGGGTCTAGGGGTCTAGCGTCCAGCAACAAGGACCGGATCTGGGGATTGATACGGTTGATAATATAAATCCTGCATTACCTTAAGCACCCTAAACTATGGGAATTCAGGTATCTTCCTTATTATGGGTAATGCGGGACTTATATCACCAACCGTAGTGCTAGGCTGTAGGGCTCAGGGGCAGCAGCATTCGTCGTCGAAATATCTAGTCCCAGGCCATGGGCTGCAGCGCAGTCTTTCAGAAAGGCATGCGCCTTCAACTCACGCAGAGACTAGATCAAGTCCCTTCAAAACAGGCTTCTTATAAGACCTGCAAGCCTGAACCCTCAGTCTCTGATTATCCTGGAGCGTGTATAATGTCTAAACCCAAAAGAACCCAACACCAACAACTGAAAACCTCCATTCCCCTACATCTTGAAATCCGGAAAAACCTCTATTCCCCTAAATTTTGCGTTGCTGAAGAACCTCTGTTCCCCTCAAGTTTAAATTTTTGAGACCCCCCTTGTGAGTTTCGGGTCCCATCGCGCCTCAGCAGCCACTACCACGGGCGTGCCGAAGGAGAAGAACCGCCGGAGTAGCTCCTGAGCAGAGATAGCCCTTGCTTGTGTTTAGGGTTGCTTTAGGGTTCGGATTTAGGGTTTAGGGTCTAAGGGCTCATCTAGCCAAGGTATATACCGTTTGCATGGACCAGCGGGTTAGGGTCTAAGAGTGTAAGGTGTAGGGTTGAGGGAATATAATAGGGCTAGGGCTTTGGGACTAGAGTTTAGAGGCCTCTAGGGTGGTTGAAGGTTTAGCTTTTAAGTAGCAGTCCTGGATGCAGCAGTTATCTACGTATGGTAAGCCTATGGTAAGCACATATAAACATCCTTCAATATCAGATGAAGGTCACCAACAAATGAACCAAAACAGAAACCCTAAACCCTAAACCCTAAACCCGGGCTCAACAGTAACAGAAGGCCATCCTCAGCTCCCGACGTGGCCGTCGAAACCATTGGGAAAAACGTCGAAGGCATCCAGGAAAACGATCAAGTCATCGTCGTCCACCATCTGGGTGGTTGTCAAAATTATGGTCCCTTTTTGGGTCCTTATTCTAATACGGCACCTATTATTTAGGGTACCCCAAAAGGGACCCTAATTTTGACAACTACCCATCTGATAGCACGGGGTGAGGGTCTACGCGACCGTTGAGTAGACCTTGACGTATTCGAACTTAGCCTCTTGAAGTTCTCTTTGGGTTATTTAAACAAAGCTTCAGCACGGTGGCCTTCATGGTGTTGTCAGGCTCCGGATTGAAGTAATTAGCTGGTCTCTGCTATGAATCAGAGTTGCCAGACTTTTCCCTAAACCCTAAACCCCAAACCCTAAACCCTAAACCCTAAGCCTATGTTATGCTAAGCCGAAGACCAGGAACTCCCAAGAACCCAGCCAACGCGCATCAGGACAGATCCAAACCTTTCCGTCAATTTTGGGCGCTGCCCATAGGCCCCATAGTACGTAGTTCCTTTTTGTGGAGGGTTTAGGGTTTAGGGTTTAGGGTTTATTATATTTAGGATCCAATTAGGTAATCCGAAAAAGGAACTACCATGGGGCCTATGGGTAAACCCTAAACCCTAAGCCCCGGAACCTTCGGATGCACAGAACGCGGAAGTGTAAACACCTCGAAGTCGATTCCGAAACCCTCAACCCCAAACCGTATAAGTCCTGATCGCTATCCTACACCCTAATATAGGGGCCCAAATAATTACCCA